TGTGTGCTTTTTCTGGGGGGGGGATATCTCTGACTTAAGCTAATACAGTAAGTCAAAATATTTACTTTTAATTAGCTGTGGCCACCTGTAAGTACCTCAGCTTCCTCTATGTCAGAGTCAACATTAGGAACAAAGATCCTGCTGTCCTTAGAAAACACAGTAATGTTCTGTCTGCTCCTCGAGAAGAATAAAACATAAGCAATAAACAGTTTACCTGTATTACTGACATAATTTGGAACATTAAGGTCAGCACAAATCGGCACCGCTTTTTATCTCTGATCTCTTCCTATTCTACCTTTAGAGCTCTCACAACTGCTGATACGATTATTTGCTTTTTTTCCTGAGAGTTAGATGAGTTGATTGATACGACTCTGTCTGCGTCTAAAATCAGGTACCATCGTTAGTACACACACATGACAGGGTCGTGTTCTCTTAAATCAAACACAGCACTCCTCTTCTGCTGTCGATTTGCAACCAGTCGGAGCATTATCGCACATTTGACTAATGATGTCACTCGCCAAAATATAAGCTACCTATATCTGCTTGTTTGCTCACGTCTTCTTCTGCATTTATTTATTTATTTCAAAATTACCATGTACATGTACCATTACAATGTATGTAATTACCCATGTACCCCTTTTCCAGCGGGAACTGCCCATTGGTTCGACAGCCCATTGATTCGACATCCCATTGTTCCGACCATATTAAACTCATTGTTCCGAAGTCCGTTCTGAAATCATCATGATGCCCTGTGGTTAAGGTCTGGTTAGGTTTAGGCACAAAAAACACTTGGTTAGGGTCAGGAAAAGATCATGGTGTGGGTTAAAATGAAAAAGAAAGTGACAAACTCATAAGCCGTGAGCCTGCTCCGCCTCAAGCTGGTCGCGGCGCACCATACACCCGCCGCGAGCCGTTCAGTACCGCGGACAGTCGGACTAATGGGATGTCGAACCAATGGGCTGTTGAACCAATGACATGGACCCTTTCCAGCAGGAAAGATGTCCACTCTTGCTAGCAAAATGAATGTAAATACACCTATTTGACAATTATTTGGTTTTAAACCAAACAAAAAACAGGAGAGCCACAGAATATGAACAAAGTCATCTGTAAGCTATGTTCAAACAAGTCAGGACTAAAGATAGAAACATTACACATCTCCACACCCACCTTAAAACTCACTATCTAACAAAACACACGTCTGCCACCAACTCCGCCCACAAAGGGCAACTGGACCACAACTCTCAGCAGATGAGCAGTCAGCCCTCAATCAGTAGGGCAACAAAATATAGCAGTCAAAGATTGTGAGACTGTATGACGGCAGTAAAACGTGTAAGAAAAATAACCACAAAAGCCGATTGATCAGATTTTCCGATCTCAGCTTTCCCTCATGTAAAATAGCACTTACTGCCTCTCTTCGTCTCTCTGTGGCCCCTTACAGGTGTTGCAACATTAATATATTTATACCTGTGTGCATCTCTCTTTTCAGTCTTGTTTTGGATGATAATTTTGTATATTGTTTTTCTTAAAGCAATATTGTCTGGAGGGGAATTTCAATATCGCCCAACCCTAGTCCAACAATAACAAAACCTACAAACACCTCAAAAGTTCACTAATCAACACATTATATCTTGTTTGTTTAATCCAAACAAAGTTTAACCCCTCCCAAAAGGATATGTCAACCTCTGCAGATTTTGACCCTTCTCTTTGAAAATTAATTCAGTCACATGCAGCTGTGGATGTTAAAGGGCGGACCAGTGCTGGTGGACGCACTGTTCACTTGCATATGTTTCTATAATCTGGTTTAGGTCCAATTTGGCTGCAGTATGTAGTAATGGTGTCATAATTTGGACATTGTGACATTTTCCATAGCTTGTGTCAGTAAACACACCCTGATAATTTGTTCCATAGGAAGTCACAAAAACAACCTCAGTCCAGTTCAGCCAGCTGGCCTCTCTTCCAGTTTAAATCTATGAAAAAACACATCTGACGTCACCTGCAGTGGAGGAAAAAGTAAAGGATCTTCTTCCCAGCACAGAGCTGTTATCAGCAATTGTACTTAAAGTTAGCAGTAAAAATACTTATTATGCAGACAAATGCTTGATGTGAGTGTTATACATATTATTAGATTAATATTATTGATGCATTAATGTGCAAGTAGCATTTTAAAGGATAACTGCAGCTGCATTATGAGCCACAGTGGAAGCACATGGGGCAACTAAACATCATCACTGTATGTCCATTAAAAGTGGTTATTTTTGCTACAGAGCAGCTCAGATTGTTATTTTAAATGTCTGAATTGTCTCTTTACCTTTCACTTGATCAGGTCTGTTTGTTATTGCCTCATTAAGCAGAAGTATTTTTTGGAGATCACAAGTTGTTACGAGATGTCACTTGTGCAGGTAAACAACAGTTGAAACCGTGTGTGAGTTCTGGTGAGAGTATAGTAATCAGAGTAGTTCACAGTAAATGTAGTTTAGTGTTATTTTCCTAAAGAAAACTGCTATTTAAAGGGTGATGATACCTGCTGCAGACCAGTGGAGGTAGGCTAATGCTATTAGCTAGAGTCATCATGTTGATATTGCATAACCTTGCAATTGAAAACATGCAGAATAACAGCAAAAACAATCAATTAATAAATGATTAGCAGGTGCAAAATATCAACTAATTCAGTACTCATGACAAATCTGTATAGACTGATTACCTATTTTCTTCAGCTTACATTCACAAAAATAAAAAAGTGATATCAACATGCTAATGCTACCTCTGCCACAGTGTGTGCGTAGTGAAAAAATATATTTATGTTTCGCTATTTTACAACCTACATATAAAATATTTTTATTACATTTTATTCCTACATTTGCCCTTCCTATACATCAAGGAGATGGGCTCCCTACTGGCTATAAATGACAATGGTATTGTTAGTTATGTCTCTCCCTCTCTTTATGTATCATTTTGTCATGGGGAATACTGTAAATTTATTATGTTGATCTGTTCTGTACAACATCTATTGCACGTCTGTCCGTCCTGGAGGAGGGATCCCTCCTCAGTTGCTCTTCCTGAGGTTTCTGACATTTTGGGTTTTTCCTTATCCGCTGTGAGGGTCCAAGGACAGAGGGGTGTCTTATGCTGTAAAGTCCTCTGAGGCAAATTGTTATTTGTGATATTGGGCTTTATAAATAAAATTGTATTGAACTGAGTTAAGGGCAGCATGGTGGTGCAGCGGCTAGCACTGTCTCCTCACAGCAAGAGGGTTCCTGGTTCAAGTCCAGGAGGGAGCTCTTCTGTGCGGAGTTTGTATGTCCTCCCCGTGTCAGCGTGGGTTTTCTCCGGGTACTCCAACTTCCTCCCACAGTCCGAAGACATGCAGGTTGGGGATAGGTTATTGGCCGTAGGTGTGAATGTGACTGTGAATGGTTGTCTGTCTCTATGTGTCAGTCCTGTGATAGTCTGGTGACCTGTCCAGGGTGTAGCTGGGATAGGCTCCAGCCCCCCTGTGACCCTCACGAGGATAAGCGGTTACGAAAATGGATGGATGGATGAATTGACTTATTGTACGAGCCTCTACACATTGTCTTTTCTAATAAGATAATCATTTGCTACGAAATTTGCAGTGTTACAGTACCAAAGAAGACAGTGTAATATCAAGAAGCATCAGCAAGATGTAATGTAAAATAAAAAGTAAAATAAAAACCTCTGCTGCCTTTTTTCTCTCTCTCTCTCCTCATCCACTTTCTCCGTCACAAATGACGGCGGCGATAGAATTCAAAGGCCCGAGAGGCATTTAAAATCAGGTAGATAATCATCTATGATATTGAAAATCTTTTAACAACACTAAAATACATTTTCTATACGCTAATTCAGTTAATATTCTCTCTCCAAATCTCCCACACACATTTGGTGATAGCTTGTGATATTTACAAAGGACACCTCTGCTTAACAGGGCAATAACAAACAGACTGAATCAAGTGAAAGGTAAAGAGACACTTCAGACACTTATAATAACAATCTGAGCCACTCTGTGGCAAAAATAACCCCTTTTAATGGACATACAGCGATGATGTTTAGTTGCCCCGTGTGCTTCCACTGCAGTTCGTTCAGCGGCTGCCAGCTCCCTCAATTTTGGACCAATATCAAAAGTTGTTCACATCAGTCTCTTTGATCAATTTGCACAGGGAAATAGAGCCCAGGTTGAAAAATGCTCAAGTTATTCTTTAATGTTGGGTAGTATAATAACACTGCATCATGTTTTACATAGCGATCATGCATTTTGTTTTTACAGCTGTCAGATAGCAAAAGGCACAATATTATAAAATGTAGTGGAGAGGAAGGATGTAGTATTAAACTAAGATGCTTGAGTGAGGTACATCTAAAGCTGAAGTGGTACTTGAGTTAAAGTGCTGTGAATGTGTGATCCAGTAAAGAGAACTAAAAGTATGTGAGATTTTATATTGAAGCCAGTAACAGTGATTATTTAGACCACTGTATTGATTAGATCATACACTGTGAACACATACAAAGACACACCCATCACCTGTCCTGAATAATGAAACACTATTATGCAATGTCTGTACCACCCAACTAAAGCTCTGTGGGACAACACTGTCCATGTGTCAACTTGTTTCAACCAGACTGCCTGAAATGATCCTGGCCTGTTGATACATATTAAATGTCAATGAATGTTAACCAGCATTTATTTATGCCACCCCGTGTGCTCTGACTCACTAAACATCACACAAAAATGTTTATGTATTTTACTCAAACGTTGTCATAAGTTTTAGAGTGTTTTTGCACAACTTGCGAGTTTCAACATAAGGTAAAAACTTTCAGCCCAGACTCCATTTAAAAAACATCTAATTTTCCATTATCTTACCCCGGAGAAGAAGCAGATCGCAACTTATTATTTTCATTTGCATATTTTGGTCTGTTTACTGTCCATGTTTCATTCGGCCATGTGCCTGCTCTATTTCATGTCTGTATTGTAGCTTATTTTATCAACTCACCTGTGGCAGGTAGAGCAATCTGCGTGTTGCTCCGCTGCAACATCGCCCAGAGGAGAACACAGCGCAGTAAAAAGCCCTTCATCATTTCTGAGCGATATGAATGTGATCAGAAACAACACAGGCAGGTGAAATCACCAACACCGGTTCTTCTTTCATCGGTGCCCATTGCGCAGATGTCACAGTTGGTCCAGTCTGTGTTATTGTGCACTCACGTCGCCTCTTCCGCAGAGTTTCGCTTCTCCTCCAAACTTTTTTTCGGCGAACACCTGCGTCATGCGCACTGCAGTATTCACGCGGTGCAGTGATTCCCTTTAATGTCTCCAAGTCACTCTCTCGTCCAGATTACTCCTCCTCCTCTTGCTGCTGAGCCAGGACATAAAATTATTGTCACTTTTTGCTGGAGTTTGGTCTTTGATGGGGCATTAAAGCACAGATGCTTCTTGATGGTCGTTGTTTTCATCCTGCATTGTAATTTCCTCAGTCAGTCCAGGGGCCATCACACTTAATCACACAAACACACAGGCACCTGGCCAAATACACACCCATGCAATACATTGCCTGTCCCAGAGGACCCAAGAAAATCTCATCATGAGCACGCCAGAATTTAATGCTGTAGCTGCAAGGGAAAAGAATGATCTCATCTGTTTCCCCTGTACATCTTGTACTGGAGGAATAACAGTGAAACTGATCTGGTCTTCATTTTCTCTGGGGACGCCCAGGAAGCCCCTCAAGCTGAACGCAAAACTGAACCCCGCTTTCAGAAACAGTAACGGGGCACCCATTTGGATCAAGCAGCAGCAAGGAAGCCAATTCAGCCGGTCCATTAGACAGGATTACAGCAAATACCACAGCTGCCACTTATCAGAAAGATAACTTGGATGGAGTGCAGGCTACTGGCATGGCGTGTCCCTGCACGTGTGTGTTTGTGTGTGGGTGTGTGCCAGCAGATAAAGATAAAAGGCTAAATAAATGAAGGGCACTGACTGAATGTGCCCTCTTGAGATGAGAGTGCCCTGTGTGTGCCAAGACACAGCGTCTGTTTCTTCACTGTAAATACTGCGCATAATCAGAATTTGCTTGAACATGACAGCGTTTTTATTTTTTATTCCACTTGTCTCAGTGTGCGGGGTGCAGGATGAGATGGGCGTGGGATGGTGAGGTGGAGACAGATAGTAGAGAGATAACATTTTGTAGAGGGCATACTTTGATTCTGCCTTTTGATACATGATTAAAAAATCCTTACTTACATACCAGGCTGGTATCTCTAGACAGCAGAAGTTCAGTTTGTTCACGTAGACAGTCTGCAGGTTCATCAGTCCTGGTGTCTTTTTATTTTGGTTGAAGACAACATATCTGCTCATCTCCAGATGATGATGAGGCGGGCATTTTAAGATATACTTTAATTTTCTTGAAGCAGCATACTCAAAGGAATGGTTCAACATTTTGAGGCGATGCACTTATTTGTCTTCTTGGGGAGTTAAATGAGAAGGATGATAGCACTTTAATTTCCATCCATCCATCCGTCCATCTTCAACCGCTTATCTGAAGCCGGGTTTTGGGGGCAGCAGGCTGCGCAATGTATTCCAGACATCCCTCTCCCCAGCAACGCTTTCTAGCTCCTCCTGAAGGATCCTGAGGCTTTCCCAGGCCAGACGAGATATGTAACCCCTCCAGCATGTTCAGGGTCTGCCTCGAGGCCTCCTACCAGTTGGACGTGCCCAGAACACCTCTAACAGGAGATGCTTAGCAGTCTCTCCAGGAGGAGGCATCCTGATCAGATGCCTGAACCACCTTAACTGACCCTGTTTGACACGAAGGAGCAGCGGCTCTACACCGAGCTCCCTCCGGAGCACTCGCAGCACTCTCATGTCTGTATGCTAAAAATGAAGCTACTGTCAGCAGGTAGTTAGCTTAGCTTAGCACAAAGACTGGAAATACAAGGAAGCAGCTTGCTTGGCACATACCTCCACTGTAAAAACGCTTTTTTTGTACGAATTACACCAGCTAGTGAGCTTTAGAGAAACTGGAAGGTGGATTTTGTTACCTCTGTAAAGAACCAGGCCCTCTTTTTTCCCCCGTTTCCAGTCTTAGCACTGAGTTAAACTAACCAGCAGCTGGCTCCAACTTCACATTTACTGGAGAGCAACCCAATCGGCCAACATGTCTCACTCCAACCCCGTCACATATTGATGTTTGGTCATGGACTTTCCACATCCAGATACGACGTAAAAGGTACCCTGGGTGCGTTGGTTGTTGACGTTTTGGGACGCCTCGTCAAGTTCTGCCTGTTACATCCATTGTAAATTACACGTCTGTTTTCACAGGAAATTTAACGTTTACATACAGTCTCTTTCAAAATAAATGCACTATGTCAGTACAACACCGTGAATGGACTTTTTTTTTCCTTCAACAACTAACACACATAATTGGGTTTAGGCAACAAAAAGACGTGGTTACATATAGGGAAAAAAACAGGGTTTGGCTTTAGAATCTTATGGGACGCAAATGCCGCTCTCTCAGGTGAAAGTCTGTGTTTGTTGGACCCAACCACCACCACTCCTGCCCACCCCAATTGGACTTATGCTGCCTTAACTTTTGTCTTTGTCTGGCTGTGTTCTCCCCTGATGCCACTGGGCGCCATTAAGCTATAACGGCAACCGGCCGCATATCATGCTGATGTTAAAGGAGGCCTTTTTTGTTGGTTTCTGATGCCGCAAGTCCTTGCCTTAGCGCCAGATTTTGATGACTACGGAGTGAGACTGGGCTCAGTTGCCAGAATAAATGTTAGCACTGAATGTTTTTGCAAACCACAGATGTATTACATTTGTATGTTATTATATAACAGATACAATTTTATATTTCTTTATGTTTCAACAATGCTGAGGTTACCAACAACACACTACAACCTTATAACTTAAGCAATTAGATATTGAAAATCACAAATTAAACAAATAATAATAAAAAAATAACCTGAAACTTTATAAATGTAGATCCTTTACAAATACTTCCATAACACTCCCAACAACAAAATGGGAAAATGACCTGGCTCTCTCTCCCAACACTGATTTCTGGATGCAAATTAATTAAAATATTTTCTTTATGACCACTAGCACAAATTTGCAGCCTATACAATATAAAACTATCCACAGAACCCATACACTCAAGATAAAATCTTTAAAATGGGTTTGGCTGATACAGACATCTGTTCACAATGCACTCTGGGTAACACGATTATTTCATGCCACTTGGGTCTGCCCACCAGTTCGCTCCCTCCGGACAGTAATAACTGACAAACTCTCCACTATCTCGGGCTGCAGAGTCCCATCGTCCCCATTGCTCTGCCTGCTGGGAGACATTACACAAGTCACACTCACAACAACACACAGAAACCCATTACTCATGTCTCTATACCACCATGGAAATATACTTTCAAAACTGGAAATCTAAAAGAATCTTGTAACAACACTCAGTGGAACAACCTGCTTATGGAATGCATTTCAATAGAGAGAATAACAAAGGAACAGCAGCATATCTGACTTTAATGATGCCTAGGAAACCTTCTTAAATCATCTAAACTTAAACCATCTTTTAAACGTCACAATCACACTACACCAAACCATAGAGTCATGCATATTTAGTAGTAGGTGTAGTTAAGTTTTTTATGGTCATAATCATTTGTAATTTGACTTCAGAGTGTGCACACAGAGATCTTTGACTTTTGGTTCAATTCTTCTTCACCATAATTTTATTGTATATAAAATCATAATGTTCAATATCTGAGCTCACAGTGTATGACACTGCAAATCCAACATGACTCAACACTCTTGAATGCACCAGGCACTCCATCATTGAACTGAGAAATTGCACAAGCACTCACACACAAGATCACAGAGGAACACAATGGCTTTTATTTACAATAGAATCTAATATAGTATTGGGCACAAGGGTGACAATTCGGTGACCTCAAACATTTCCTCATATTAAAAATCATATTTAGAGGGTTTTTTTTTTTTCAATTTTCAATGTGTTGTCATGGATATTTTATATTTAAACCTGTGCTTTTCTTTGGTGTGTGAGTCAAAGTCATATGTAGTTGCCCCTGCTCTGTGCTGTCTGTCTGAAACTTATGTTGCTGCCTGTCTTGGCCAGGACACTCTTGGAAAAAAGAATTTTAATCTCAAGAGGTTTCTCTAGTTAAAAAAAAGGTTAAATAAAATGAAATAAATACATGAAACAATAACGTGGTCCTACCTGGAGTATATAGTATGTTCACATTGGGAAAGTGTCAAGATGAAGTACACTCAAACCAGAAAGTATGCTCAGTAATCACATTTGATTTTTGAGTGTGCTGTTTTTGAATGCCATCCTCCCAAAATGCACAAAGGAAATGGAGGAGCTGCTCCCTGCTGGAATAAATAAATAAAATGTGGGTGGGGGTGAAACGCTCCAAACAAATCTCAGCAAACAAAATAATGAATGAATGTTGGTAAAAGTATTTTTGATGATAAGGTTTAACTGGCAGTGGCATTTTGACAGTTGACGCTGAATTAGTATGGATTTGGGACACAGCTTGTTATTATAAAGTTTTTTCCCCAGCTATCTGTACTCAGATATATTAGAAGGTCTAACACTTCAAGTAGAGCAGATTCAGTCAAGAGGCACATTCAGAGTGCTGTGTGTCCTCTCCTCTATCAGCAGCAGCTCGCTATAGTAACTCTCACTGTGCTACTCTGAAAGCATAAAGTTTTTCTTCCACTTGAAATAGATTGAATTAGATTTTCATATTTATGTGTATGATAAGCGAGACATTAACTCCCACTGTGGCGTCCCAGCTTGGGTGTGTGTGTTCAACTCAATTAATGTATAAGACGCAGTATTATAAATTCCTTCTGTGCATGCAGCGTGAAGACACACATGATGACTACCAGCACTTCATTCTTCACAGTGTAAAAAACATCACAGCCAGGCTGAGCACAAAGAGGGAGATGTGCTATTAAAAAGCCATTTTATTAACATCATGCTGATGAGCTCTGCCTCTGCTGAAGAGTCCACCTGATTAACTCCCAGATTAATGTGCTGTCAGCTCTCTGCCTCTGCTGCACAAATTAACAGGGTTTGTTGTCACAACAGTGCAGTGATACACTAATATTGACCACACAGGACAGGAATTAAGTGGTCACCTATTTCCCTTTCAAACTGAATGATTTTATTATGAACATGCTCTTTAAAAAGTTGAATGAGCACTTGAGCTCAGTGTTTTTTTTTTAGTTTGAGCGTTGGTGGCAGAGAAAACGCTTGAGGACGGCTTTAAACCGGAAGGTCTCCCTTGTAAAAGCAGCGTGAACACAACATACAGAGCACTTATAGCTATTGATTAGAGGCATTGACTCAAACGACAGATTAATGAAGATGGAGCCTTCCTTCCTTCCGTCTCCGTACT